ACACGATTTCCTCGTAAATTACTGAACTCGCTCGATACGGAGTACCGTTAACACGGAGAGCCGCTGATGAGCGGCTCCGTGATGACGCGGGGTGTAATTCGCTAATTCGCGCGTAAGATGCAATTAAACGCCTATCACGAGAATCAAATGTACCGGCCGACAAAGAGCGCCGATTGAACGACATAAAGAGAGAACACATGTTCCGGGAATTGCATTTACATTCAGCGTATCGTCGATTATACGATTTTTTTTCGGCTTAAGCTGTCGAACAATCGATAGAGATCACAGCGCGACGTTCAATGCGTTAATTTCGTATTTGACGTTGACGAAGGCAAAAAGGAAAAAAATACAGAAGGGAAAAAACGTCTATTATCCTAGGGTTAAACAGCCCCCGATAGTCGCGCGTTTACCGATGACGGAAAATAGCGCGGGGAAATACGCGTGTAGCTACAAATAATATTTCTCGCTGAGATCGCCGATCCTTTTAAGCAGGATAATGATGCGACAGCAGATATTTCCATCCAATTGCGTCGTATTTCTCTCGTTCAACGAACGGATAGTCGGGCGAAATCCCGACGAATTATTATTACTCAGAATCAGTGTCGTCGATGTGTACACTTGATGTTTGACCGGATAATTAATTTCCAGCATTTAATTTGTTGACCCTCTAGCCGCGAAGCGTCTCGTTAGCATGTTCGACGAATATTGGAGCTCGTTACGCGTTCGTTGAAGATCCACGGGAGGAATACTACGCCCGTCAAAGATGGTTAATTACTGCACATTCAGCGTGCAAATTAGTCTGTGTTTAGTCTGCAAACGACCTCAGTCTCATCGGTTACGAGCAATACGTTGAACTAACAATCATTCTGCCGATCAATAATACAGTTAAAGAGACGCGGAAAGCGAGACGGGAATCTGAGCGAGCGAGAGACAACGAGAGAAAGGGAGAGGGAGGAGGGGGGAGAGAGAGAGAGAGAGCTAGACTGACGCGAAAGCCATTATTTTACGACCCTTGTAATAAATGTTTCCGCTTCCGCGTCCCGCGTCGGGGTTTGTGTGCACTTTTACTCGGTGTAACAATAACGTCTCGAAATCGATATAACTCGGCGCGAACCGTGAGCGCGTGTATTTTTAGCGAGTCACCGGTCCAGTATAAAACATAAATTTCTATAAAGGGGATACGCATCTGGGAGTGTCACGCGTACACAAACCAACGAGTCGCGAAAGCGTTAACGCTATTATCTCTTCGGTCGTCTTTCGCGATTTCTGCCATTCCGTTCATCGTCGTGCACGTCACGTCATCATGAGTCTGCACGAGAGAGAAGAGAACCAATGTGTCCAAGTTGCGTGTCGTAATTACCTCCCGTAGCTACTTGGTCCGAGTGTCGATGATCATCCGGGGTCAAGGTTGAGACAACGCATACCGTGCGCATCATTGGCTGCGCTCACTCGCTCGAATTTTTCACACCGCCAAAATGATAGTGTCGATAGTTACGGCGTGCGAAAATACGCTCAAATATTTGCCAACAACTCGATCGATCGCAGCGCACGTCGTGCGCTCTCTCCATGTGAGCGATAAACACATATACTACGGCAGGATCCAACTGCTTATCGAATCGATCGCCGGTCGCCGTTAACAGTGTCGCAACGATAACGGAATTTCAAACTTTCGATAATGTGACGGTGCACATGACCGCAGGAACGGTCGATTTAACCGAGCCGGGTCGCGCGTGCCATCACTCGATCTCGATCACGAGGAATATATAAACGGTCGAAATATTCATTCTTTGCGCGCGCGCGCGCGCGCGCGAGAGGGAGAGAGAGAGACAAGAGACATGTTTGACATTTAAATTTCTACAAAAGAGCCGCGAGAAACGTGCGTACCTGACAGATGAATAAAAATAATTGCAACGCGTATGTTTTCTCACGACGTGTCTTTTGCGGCAGTGTTCCAAGCGGCGATATCCAACGTACAGTTGCGAGTCACGGTTCCGTCGCAACTTCCGTCGAGACTACAAGAGTATCGGCTCCGTCCGAGGCTTTGTTCATCCTCGTTATTAGATGGATCAACATTATGACGCGCGAACACGCTACCTTAATCGAAAAACCAACGTGCGCTGGAATCAAGGCCAGGGTCACCGCTTAGTACACATCAGCCATCTCCGTCGTCGTCGTAGTTGTACTATTCGCGAATCGCCGCAGTGCCGATCTCGTGACCTCGCTCACGACTACGGCATCCGCAACTTCCTATTAGCAGAGCGCAGAGAGTCATCCCCATCCACCGTGGCGGAGAATTCTCTCTCTCTCTCTCTCTCTCTCTCTCTCTCTCTCTCTCTCTCTCTCTCTCTCTCTCTCTGTCTCTCTCTCTCTCTCTCTGTGTGCGTGTCGCTATCAATGTCAATAATTACGAACAACGATGGCGTGTCGACGCTTAACGTTATTATCGAAATGAAAATCGCGTTTAGAGACAAAAGCGTCACCATTATGCAACTTGTGAAAGACGATGGCTCGTGTTATTAATTTATCGATTCGTGTATGAACGAATGAACGAACAAACAGTCACGCTAAAACCGTAGATATTTTCGTTCCTCGGCATTCGTCCTCGGGTAGGAGGAGCTGCTTGTTTTCAACGCTCGCGAAAGGTCACGCTCGCTTTTCAATCGTCGCGAGAATACACGCCACGAAAGAGTATCATGAGACCGAACATGTCGGCTCGTTTGCGGCTCCTCTCCGACCGCGCATACTTTCCACGTTCTTGCTGCTTCTCATGGGAGAGAGAGAGAGAGAGAGAGAGAGAGAGAGAGAGAGAGAGAGAGAGAGAGAGAGAGAGAGAGAGAGAGAGAGAGAGAGAGAAGGGCGCAGAATTACAGACAGTCAATTGACCAACCGATAGACATGACTAGTCGACGAAATGCAGTCGCTCGTCGGACGAATTATTTATAAAAGAACCAGAAGGGTAGGGGTTGCAGAGAGTTACATCATATCGTTGTGGTTGTGGCGTTGCGATCGGTATCGCGAGGTGATCGCGGTTTCGTCCGATCGATCATCATCATCATCGGTGAACTCGCGGAGACGGTATCGTCGCGCATGCAAAGTGCATCGATTCCGGCGACGCGGCGACGAAAAAGCGACGGCTACATTACGTGTGCGTCGGGACATGACCTTGACCCCCTCCGCGAATGCCTTTTCGTTGCTCGTCGTAGGGACCGGTGTTCTCTCTGTGGTTTATTCCAGGATAAACTGCAGGACCTGCGCACTGCAATCGTTTTTGCCGTGCTACCTTGATCGGACGCGATGCGCCACAGCGGCGGCGGCGGTGGCGGTGGTGGTGACGGTATTCGTCGAAAACTCGTCGAGACTCTCTCGGATCGCTCAAAGATGGCTAATCTCTCAAAGCGATCGACACGTATATCACACGTTGCGTATATCATGGACGCGAGTAATTGACGTGATATCGCATGCCGCAAGAACGAAAGTGGACGAAGGAAGCGCGCGACTGCGTCCTCTGAACGATCCATCCGCTTTAACGATTCTGGAGGAAACGCACACGAGAGAGAGAGAGAGGGGGAAGAGAGAGGGGGGGAGAGAGAGAGAGCGAGAGAGAGAGAGAGAGAGAGAGCGAGAGCGAGCTCGCCGCCCCGTTGAGGAAAATCGCGACGGCGAAAAAGCAACGTATCGATGAGATGGAAATCCGCACGACGCTGTAAGCCGGTACTATGCGCCAAAGTAGAGGGCCGTTTCGCTTCGGGAAACTCGATATTAACGACAATCCGGTGGGAACCGGGAGGAACGGCAAAGTATACACGACGGACTGACGTTCAAACTTACGGAGAATTGATATATCACGGGTATATACATTATAATGAGCTGGGATATCGGGAGGTCGATGAAATGTTTACAAAGTACGCGAGCGGTGCTTTACGGCAGCGAGCTTTAAAAGGCTAGATAATCGTCTTGCGACACAAACGCGGAGCGCGCACGTACGTTACTCGTTATATGTACGAAATAATTCGCGCAATGATATATGACGTGATTGCCACATAGCTATTAACCGTTTACAGTTTGTTTACAGTTCTTAAAGTGATTTAAGCATGAACATTACTTTAGATATATGCGGTGTACGATACGATCGATGAAGCACGCGCGCGTGAGAGAAAAGAGGGAGAGAAAAGAGGGGGGTGGGGGAGAGAGAGAGAGAGGGAGAGAGAGAGAGAGAGAGGAGAGAGAGAGAGAGAGAGAGAGAGAGAGAGCACGTGTTTGATTGCTTTGTATCAGTGTAAAAATCTAAGCGATTCCCATGCGAAAAATTTCTGCTTGGAATATTTCCTACATTTTGAAGCAACATCTCGAGATTACCCTCCGTTTCGTTGCCAACTTTAAATAATAATCACAAACAAAAATTTCGTTTCTAGAGGAATGTAACTTTTAAATTCGCCGTCTCTTTCCTCGCGAATTTTTCGCATTAAGAATTATTATTTTTGAGAATTATTTTTGAGAGACACGAAGCGTTTGTTTTATTTTGAGATTTACACATTTAAAGAAGTGCTACAAACAAGTACCACCTCATAGAATATCGCAGTATGTCGCAAAATTTTATCAAGTATCTCCGATTCTCAAAGTTGACGATTGTGTGCGTATGCGCGAGTATTGATGTGTCATGACATTGATATTTTGAAGCCACTTTATACTTTGATCGGTTAATCTTCCTATACTTCTCGCATTTGTATTCAAACCGCCAGTCTTGGCAACTTTAGTCACACGGTTCATATCCATTCACACAACACGCGTCTTTCCGACTTGCGAATTTAGATGTTTGAAATGCAAAACTATGCAAACTCAGCCGACATTATTTGGCGCGCAATCCCTTTAAATACGTACGCACGATATGTTTCCGACCGAAAAAAATTGCAATACCCACGACAGCCCACGAAAAGCTGATTTTACTTGGTGTTATTTTCATCATAAAGAAAGCATCTCTCTTTCTATGAATATCGTCAAACGAACGAAATAGTTTATCCGTAAAAAAAAAAGATAGATACAAAATTACTGTCCGTTAAAAAAAGTATTAACGCATGTTTTATAGAAAAATAGGTTTCATAGCGGATTGCATCGGGGTCGATAAATAATACATATCTGCAGTACTGTATGTGTGTCCGGGCCACGCATGTGTTGTTAGTACACATTATAACAGTTAATAGTGAAGAAAAGGCGCACGTTCTTTGTGTATAAGATTGAGAAAAGTTTTCGTTTGTATACATCCCTTTTATTTGACTCATATGCGAACGATTTGGAAGAACCGGAAGTTACATACCTTCGGGAAACGTGTACGACGATTTGAAGAAGAAGATCGAGCGGAGAGTAGATTGCCTGCTGCGAGATCCTGAAAGCAACGCAAACGGCGCGTGTTATCATTCTTTTTTTCTTCTCACACAGTCGCTGAGTGCTGCCGCGTGCAATTTTCACATTGTGACACGTAGTCTTTCGCGGAAGAAATCTTGCAGCAGCACTGTTTTCCTTTTTTTTTTCTTCTTTTCTTTCGAATGAGAAGATGAAGGAGAGAGAATGCGATCTCCTTCGAATTTGCAAGCTTTGTTAATCCGCGTAGCAGTGAGAGGCGACGTTTAATTGCTGAAATTGACGTCAACTCGATGATTATCCTCGAAAAGTCGAAAATAGATGTCGTGCAAGATTGCCGTTAATTTTATCGACCGTTCTTATCCGAACCGCTACTACCCGATTTACTTGTGCTCCATTATGCTATTTTTGGTCAGAGGCTCATGTACGCTTAACCGCGCTTGTTGTTTTCCATCGAGTGCATCCGACTAAGGAATTTTCCCGAACGCTATGCGAATATGCAATTCGCAACGTCAGATAAGACATGTGTCCAATAGGATAAGCTAGAATAAAACATTTCCTCCACGAGGTAATAAACTTTTTGGTCTCGATATGTATATGTATCAACGAGGAGGGCAGACGAGAGAGAAACTCGACGCGTAAAAGTGGGACCGCGCCAGTGGGCGGTCATGTTCAAATACAACAGCATCGTAGCCTTCGCGCGGCTACGGTACTCTTTTCTCTATCTTTAAAAACAAAAAAAAAACATCTGTCCTTTCACTTCAGACAACATCTTTACGAGCGCTGTGATGTGTACGAGTCTAGATAATTCCCTTTATTCATTCCAGTACAATTGACGACACTTTCAATTCCACCAAGATTGCACATAAGTTATTCAATGGTTTTTATATTAATATCTCTTGTGTATTTGAGCTAGTTGTGTAGCGCGTAACGTGTTAGCGTTACTTATCATTACGAGGAGATGCTTTGCTAACAGCGCAAATTTCTTACAGTTTCATCAGACCGTACTGACTTACATGCGGGACAGAGTCTGGGAATTTCATTTTTACGTGGCAAAAGATTGGCCCGAGGATGCAATCTGCTTACATTTTCCCGGAATGACGTTATCCGTAAGTATAAATTAAATTTCCGTTTGATGATTCAAGATTTACAGAGAGAGAGAGAGAGAGAGAGAGAGAGAGAGAGAGAGAGAGAGAGAGAGAGGAAAGAGAGAGAGAGAGAGACACACAGAGATGGCCTGATGCAATCTCAAACAAAAGTTTCAATCTTTTATCCGACATTTATTCGAAACGATGTTGTCTCGTTTGCGCCACCCCAACGTATCTTCGCCGCCCGAGAAAAAAATCCGCGTTCACCACCAACCTACCTACCTTCGAACTCACCCAACTGATTTCACGCTTCTAACTCGTGTCACGTGCCTCGCACATCCTTCACCTTCGCAACGATGTGCGTAACAAAATGAAAAGGGCGTGTCAAGATAAAGTATCTGAATGAACGCAGAAATGCAATTTCGTCAATTACGTTTTCGTCAATTGCTGCGAATAAACTTTCGTTAGATTCGTTAGATTAGATTCGTTAGATATCGCGTCAAATAGTTGAATAAGCATTATCGCGGTGCGCGAGTGCCGCAAACTCATCATAGCGTTTCCGGTCGTGCCGCCGCGCTTCTCAATGTAGAGTGCAAGAATGGGATTGGTTAATATGTGTGTTTGTGCGTATATATATATATATATTTTTTTTTCTATAGATTTGGCGTTTCGCCAGGCTTTCGTCTTTTCCTCTCTCCCTTCTCCTCCTCTTTCTCATCCATGTTCGTTGTTGCTGATTCGCGATTCACCGCTTAACGCCAACTGCTGTTCCACCGCGTTTGCCCGCAAGATGATTTTGCTCACGCTCTTAAGCTAATTACTCGCTGTCTCATAAATCGCAGTATCATAAATCCGGCGACCGGCGCGGGCGGATTATTAGACGGCACATCTCTGAAAAAGATCAGCGCGTCTCCCACCATGGGGAGAATTACTGCGTGTCCTTTGACATTTAACACTCACACCGCATCGTCGAGCCCTCTTTGTGCCGCGATTGAACGCGCGGTCGAATGCTTTTCGACATGTGTCGCGTCGCAAACACTTGCTTGCGGCGTGAACGATAATTCCGTCGTTTGTTTTTTTTGTTTTTTTTTTTAATTTAAACACGAGGTACACGCGCGCGCGCAAAGCGGAGACATTAACTCTATTCCGAGGTGTCGTAAATCCGAGGAAAAAGTAGCGCGCGATCGCGGAAACGGCCGTAAACAGCGTGTAAAAGTTTCACGATGTCTCACAACGTGCGCGCGCGCGCGCGCGTTCTTTCCTTTTTTTCTCCCTGATCCTCAAGAGCAACGACTAATCGCGCGCATCTCTTCCGTCATCCTTTCAGCCGCACGGTCTGCTATACGAGAGCGTCGGTGTGTTCTGCCCCAACGATCGGCTGGAGCTAGTTCGTCTCCTGCGCGAGGAGGACGTCCTGATAGACTGGTCGAGACCTTTGTACATTAATTTCGTTCATTACGATATTGCCGAGGAGCTGATGCGCCTTTACGAGGGTACCGGCACCGTCGAGACCATCGTCGGCGACGTTTGCGCGTGCGAGCAGGTCTACGAGCAAGAGGAGAAGAGCGAAGAGCCGTCCGACGAAGGGACGTCCGATTCCGACGTGCAAGTGCTGCCTCTCAAGGCCGAGCACGCCGAGGGGATCCACGAACTGTATCCGGCGAACGACATGGAGTGTCACGAGCTTTTCCTACGGCTCATCAGGACCTTGCCGGCGGCTGGCGTGTTCGCGAAGGGCAGTCTGGCCGCTTGGATGGTCCAGTCCTATTACGGGGCGATGTTCTCCATGCAGACGAAGCCGGAGTACCGTAGGAAAGGTTACGGGACTAAGCTAGCAAGGTAAGCGCCGCGATAATTCATGATTGACCAAACAGCGAGAGCTCCGAGATCTTTCGGTCGGCTCGGACGCTCCGCTTCCGTCGAGACTCGCTCATACGAGTTGTCTGTGCCAAACAATCGTAGATGTAGAAATCGTGGCGTGACCCGCGCGTGCTTTGTTGCAATTTCAGGTACCTGACGAAACGCGTGGCCGAGAGAGGCTATTACCCGTTTGTTGTGATACGTCCAGAAAACGAAGCCAGCCAAAGCCTGTACAAGAAGCTGGGCTTCAGACGGCTTTACCAGATCGTGCGGATGATCTTTACGCCTTCCACGTGGCAGGACAGCGAAAACGACGCGAGCATACTCAGGGATAACCTGGAGAACGCCGTCAGGCAGCTCACCATTGAGCAGAGGGTAATAACGACTCTTCGCGATCGGGAGCAAGAGAGCGAAGAAACGACGATACGACGGGATCCCACGGGAGCTGCCGCCGATCATCGGTCGATCGTCGGTCAAGCGGACAGGCCGGAGGAGGAGGAGGAGGAGGAGGAGGAGGAGAAGCTCCTCGAGACCATCGAGGAGCACCCCGAGGAGAGGATAGAGCCGGATAACGCGACGGGCGGAGACGTCGCCGACTGTTGCGACTGCGGGGCGGATGCTGCGGCTGGCGACGAATAAGTCGGAGAGAACGATTTACGCGACAAACGACGGTCCATAAACGCGCGCCCGCTCGAAGATGCCCGCTCCTCGCCCGCCGTCTCGTGGTCGAGCCGTCGAGCTGTGGTCAACTCGACAGCGAAAAGCCGGTCTTGAAGCTGATCGACACGGCTCCTAAGCTGGGAAACGGCCAAACAGTCGAATGATATGGTACAGTTAGTGGTGGACGGAGCTTGCGTGCGAATACAGTGAGTCTCCTCTCGGGAATAATACGCTAAAGATACTCGCTATGTATGCCTCTCCCGACTCGTTACTCTCGCGTCCATTTTGATTTTTCATTCGTCGTCGAGAGAGAGAAGACGAGCGCGTCTTTAAGTGTGTCTTACGAAGCGACCGTGACGTAATGACGCTCGTCGCTTCTGCTCTCGAGGACAAATCGAAGTACGAGAGGGAATTCTGCGAAACTCTACGAACGGCACAAGCGATCAGATGTATCGAATATAGGTTTTCCTTTGAAATGATGTTAGGCGTATTCGTTGCGCGGCGAAAAGCCGTCGTCTTCGAGCGAGGAAACGCGAAAGAGTCAAAGATAGAAAAATATTTTACGAGATTTCGACATATTACGGCACCGCGTTCGTGCGAGGCTTCAATTCGCGTACGAAGAATCAAAATTCCTCGTATGATTCCTCATATCAGACTCTCGCCCCGAAACGTCGCGAAAGTCTTAGGTATCGGATGGCCACGTGCTTTTTTGGGTAGCTTTGGGTTGCCAATATCTTGTATCTTGTCGGAATCACCATCCGACGCAATGTGTATCGTTTTTTGTGTTATATTGATGAATGATTATATATAATCATTGGAGTTTTCGAAAGTAATCATATTCATTTAAAATCATCGGTGTGTTAATGATTCCTTGTGAACATGTGTTCGGCGCGCGCGCGCGCAACGTCCCTATCTGCTATATATATATATATTCCAATACTTTTAATTAAGTATGAAATTATCGCGATTATTATTGTATAGATTGGTTGACTCTTCGAGAGTCTGTATTCGTTTTGTCCGTTTGTTTTTCCATCGTCTCTCTCGTTCGCTTCGTCGTCATGCAATCGTCATCGACTAAAATCAATAAGATATATTTGCGTGGCGTACGATACGTATTCGTTAAGAGATTTCGACTGTACTTTCGCGTACTTCATGTCTCGATTTCCAGCTAGTCAAGTCATACGTAAATAGTGGACTTGTGGGAAGAGGGGAGAGGAGGAGGGGACAGGTTGGTCCAAACCCTTGAACATTCCAGAAAAAGCAGCCCGTTCTCCGCAAAAGGAATCAGCAATTGAATCCGCAGTTGCGAGGGAGAACGCGCTAATTTTCACCGAACGCTAAGATTCGAAAGTCTGCGAGGTGATCCAAACTGTGATCTTAATTTTCCTGTATAAAGTAGAGTTTCGAGAGAAATTACGAAGCCTCGTGCGATCTCGACACGCTTTCCTCAATACAATAGAAACGAATCGCCGCGCCGGTGCAATTGCACAGACAAATATTGCGGACGTAGCCGTCCGCAGTGAAATTATGTCCCGCCAATATTGATCTTCTATATTCTTCGATTCGCATACGTTTACGCGCCATGATTTCTAGATTTCTAGATAGATGATACGAGACCACACAATTTCATTGTAGCAGGAAGAACGCTTCGCTTTTCGTAATTACGGAATTATTGACGGGTGCCACAATTTTCTGTGCACGTTTCGTGCACCGTTACGGCGATCATCTTAGCGTGCGAGTTAATAATAATGATAATATTAATGACAACACACATACACACACACACACACACACACACACACACCCAACGATATGGTTAATATTATTATTAATAATAACGATTATACATATTATATATATGTATATATATATATATGTGTGTGTGTGTGTGTGTGTGTGTGTGTGTGTATGTGTGTGTGTCTGTGTGTATACACATATACACATACATATACATATATATAATATATTATAAATACCGCGCAAAAAAAAAGGGAGAGACTGGCCGGGTCAGCTCCGTCCCCGAGGAACCCCGAGATCTTAGATAGCTACTATTTGTATAATTTTTTCTACGTTTCATAGATGACTTATCAACAAAGTACGTAAAGACGGATGGGTTGTACAAGTAAGAAGTCGGTTCCGAGCGGAGACGGAGTCGGGGCGACCGCGTAACTCTTAATTAAGGCCCCCGAAATCCCTCGTTTATTTTTGATTTCAATGTTACCGGGGGCCAGCTGTGATACTTTACCCAATCCACTTACACTCTCTGGTCATGGTACCAAGACTAGTCTAGGCGAAGATCAGTCGTTGTTAAACGATGCGCTCGGAACTCAGTGAATTCCATTTATCTCTTTCGCGCGTTACGTTACCTCGCGAATTCGATCTTGATCGGACAGAAAGGGAGAAAGAAGGGGGGAAGGAGAGAGAGAAAAGAGAGGAGAGAAAGATAGATAGATAGATTTCATTTGACATTTTTCGCATCGCGATTCGAGAGCGTAGCTGTTGCGTGATGACGATCCGTGCGTCGAAAGATACATCCGGTGTTTAATTTCTACACTCGGTCTCTCTCTCTCTCTCTCTCTCTCTCTCTCTCTCTCTCTCCTTCTCTCTTTTGGTGTCGATAATAAAATTATAGTAAGTGGAATTGAAACGACCAAATTGGATACTCGAGGCAACGTCGAAACGACAAGTTGATAAAGAGAGGCCTCAGCGCGTTCTCGACGCTCGGAATTGTGAGAGTTTACGAGTCTAGAGACCGATCGTAACTCTCTCGAGTTTGTTCGCAAAACGTTCCGCATACAGACTCAAGTGGGATTTGTGCGTACAATACGAGAAGGGAGATCCGGCCATTACGAAAAACTCAAGGACCTCGCTCGTACTTAATCGTGTCAATTAAAGTCCTCACACGTATCTCGTCGTCGTTTGGTCGCTCACGCAACGCCTCGACATGGAAAAAGCATGGACAACGACGATCATCTTTGATGACGCAAGGCGCGCGTGCGCGCTTTCCGCTAGTATGATTTCGAATTACGAGTAAAAAGCAAAGAGCTCCCGTTGCAATCGTGGTCAGTGTACAGTCTTAAAAGCATCGCGCGACATCTAGTTTTATATCACGGTGATAAAAGACGGAGGGCTAGAACGGAGGACTACCGGTTTATCGCAGCGCGCAATTTGCGTATTGGAGTTTTTCGCAATGGCCCCGATGTATCTGTGTATCTCCGTTGCATAGGTTTAAGTACACGAATCTCTCTCTCTCTCTCTCTCTCTCTCTCTCTCTCTCTCTCTCTCTCTCCCTCTTTGACTATACGCTTCAGCTTCGAGAGAAAACCTCCGAGAAAGCAAATTTATTTGTATCCTTCACCGAGACGCGAGGAATTCTTTCGCACTTGACACGCACAATACCGGTATGATTTTTCGGTAGATTCGGCTCGAAACGATACCGAAACGTAAACCCGCGAAGAGATCCATCTCTCGAAATTGCATAGATTGCAGAGACACAAGACCGCAATCGTCGCCGATCGTCGTTAACGGTAACGTCCAGTTTTTTGCTCTCGCTGTTAAACTGCTGCAACGGAAAGGAGAAGTCACGGGTATCACACATTGCTAGCGCGAAAGAACAACAACGAACTAATTACTACGACACTACTATACCAGCCTGTATGTAGTATGCTAATCCTAGCGCTGTGTTAAATCAGTGTCTCGTGAATTAGGCCTAAACCTAAGCGCCCGATACCTATGTAAATATAATACGTACATATATCCTTCCTCTCTTTCCTTCTCGTACACGTTGCCTTCTGTCGCGACAAGAAGCAAAAAGAAAAAAAAAAAAAGAAAAAAAGAATGAAGAAACCTATGTCTAGGAAGTGCGATCACGACTCAAGTCCTCGGTCCTTTGAACGATCTATGAAAGTTACACGAGGCAAAAACGAAGCATTATTTAAAGTCGTCGATGCGAAGCATTTCGAATCTATTTGTTATACAGAGCGATTACGGAGAGGAGAATGATTGACGACGATATAGTGCCATTATTTTTCTTTGCGTTTATATACTCGATCAGCAGGCGGCGCGCCACAAACGTAATCTCTGTGAGAGCGAGGGAGGAGCCAATTTGCGAGAAAAGTTGGTAGTTTTGTGAGAAATGGATAATCGGAAAACTGGACACAAAAGAGCTTTGGATAATAAATGGGACAAACGAATATGATTTTTCAACGATAGTGTCGTTTATTATGCATTCCAGCACTGTACATCCATTCGCATCACCTCTGCTCACCCGCACACCTTCGTGTAGCGTATGCAAACAATGTTGCGTGCGGATAAGCCCGCGTACACATTCTCCGCAGGATATCAATTTATCCAACGAGCGATATCGACACTCTCTCTCTCTCTCTCTCTCTCTCTCTCTCTCTCTCTCTCTCTCTCTCTCTCTCTCTCTCTCACTTTCTCGGCTTTCACAGGCATCGAATCAATCGCTTGGCAAAGAGCGTTTGCGCCCAACGATGATGATTCGAGAGAGAGATAATACTTTTTCCTTATCCTTTACTTCGTTCTCTCTCTCTCTCCCCCCCCCCCACTAAAGAGTGCACAGTTCACCTGTACAGCGTCTTTTTCTTTTTCTATGTAAATCTCGAAACACCAACAATCGACTACGATGCCATGAAGAGTGCAAAGTGAATCAACATACTGTAACTTGGATCTGCACGTACAACGAGTTGTTCCAACAAGTAGAAATTTGCTTTTCAAATTTCGCGTTTCGTGATCAACGGACGGTTATGTTAAACACGGTAAGGTACACGCTTAACGCTATTGTTTCGTGGTTAGCCGCATGGTTATAGTACACGTGTCTTTTCCTACACGACTAACGCGATTGTTATGTTAGCTGTCGTATTAGCTGGCGTTAGTGCAACACGTTGAATTATTCGCGCTTCAACACATCACCTTTTTCCTCTGTTCATGTACATCAGCTTTTTTCTCTGTTCATGTACCGAGACACGTGATCGGAGCAAGTTGCATACACTTTTTGTATCTTGAGCAATATTTTTATGCTTGTGTCCGACGCGCTTACGAGCGCTCAATGTCGCACGTATCACGATATTCCACGGGCTTTACGCGATTCGAGGTTTCTCCTGAGAGACACTCCTAATAATGTAGCACGTAGTTCCTGTCACTTCACTGTTTACAGCGACACGCCAACTTTCGCGTTCGCAAAACGGGAGACACGACGAACACGTTTCCGCGCGCGCCTAAGCCGTAGACACAACGAATCGCCCGAATGTAACTCAAAGTAAAACATGTGCGCACTCGAAGAAAAAAGAACAAACCCAGAAGAGAGACGACACGAGTTTCACTCACTTGAAATGTCACGTAAAATCTTGGGAATCCTCGGCAATCTCGGGATCTTCACCGCCACCATGTTCTCGAAGAACGTTACGCCATTCGGCGGTGCAGCGTGATGATATTCGTAACGGCGGCGTTCCAACAGTTCGGCGACAGACTTGAAGCGTGTCGACTATCGGCGATCGACGTTGATTCTGATTGTCAACATTGGTCATACGATGCAGCTCTTGGCCGCATATTCGGCAAACGGCCACGAAAGAAGAAACAGAAAGACGAAACGTAGCGACACAGAGAGAGAAAGAGAGAGAGAGGGAGGAAGGGGAGGGAGGGGAGAGGAGGGGAGGAGAGAGAGAGAGAGAGAGAGAGAGAGAGAGAGAGAGAGAGAGAGAGAGAGAGAGAGAGAGAGAGAGAGAGAGAGAGAGAGAGAGAGAGAGAGAGAGAGAGAGAGAGAGAGAGGAGAGAGAGAGAGAGAGCGAGCGAACGGAGCAACGACGACGCGCGCGAGCGCAAACGCGCGAGCGACACGTACTTCCACGAATACCGCGAGCGACTAAGAGGAACTGCCGCGGGTTAGCAGGAAGAACAGCGAAACGACAGGTGAGGCGACCAGTACGGACTGAACGTCGCGCCATGCGCACCGTCGACGCGGCGTCGGCCGTGCTCGGGCACGCTCGGCCGCTTCCGTCGGCCGTTGGTGGGGCGAGCAGTGTATCCGTGACGTCACATAATTAGAGTAAATACAAAGTAGTCTTGATGGGACAGCGGCGTGCGCCGCACCGTGAGTCGCTGGTCCGCGCGCGTCAAACCTATATCGCTCCGATACACGCACACCGCGATCCCGCGAGTAGCTCCCGGTGATACATCCGCGCGCGCGCGCGCGCGCTATGTGCCGTCAGTGTGTGTGTGCTCCAAGGAATCCTAGATGACTGTGGGAATAGTGAGTGACACCCGTGCCGCAAAGAAATGGATAAGATAGAGGTAAGTGTATCGAAGGGAATGCCGGGTAAACGCGAATTTCGTCCCGCCGCCGCAACGTAGCGCCACGAAACAAATTTCGCGCTTTAATGCTTTTTCGCCATTTTTCCTAACGCGTCTTCTTTATACTTTTTAATCTTCGCTCCGCGCTTCTGTCCTCCCCCTCCTCCCATTCTCTCTCACTCTCCTGCTGCTGCTGCTGCTGCTGCTGCTGCTGCTGCTGCTGCTGCTGCTGCTACCCCCTCCTTCCTCTCGTCGTCGTTGCTCCCCCTCCTACGTAACCGTCAGATTTACCACGACGAATACTCGCTCGACCGTAATGCAGAAGTGACAGCGTGTTGACGAGTGGACTGGAAGGGGTAGAAAATGGTGGGAGATGATCGTGTAGTTAGACATCTGGCAACGAATACCATTGTATGTATCTCCGATGTGCCGTACTATTAGATAGACTGATTATTTCTCTGTCTCTCTCCCTCTCTCTCTCCCTCTC